TTATAAAAGAATATGTAGATAAAAAAAGTGTCGATATATGCCTTCATTTTTCTTAATAGTTAAAGTTAAAACTGAACTTTTTAAAATAAAGTATTTATCGTGTCATTTTCACCAACTAGCAAAACATTTTTATAAGTTTAAAATGGTATTTTTTTTAATATAATAACCAAGAAAGTTTTTTTTAACTATGTTTATGAACGGAAATAATGTGTTAATTACGTAAAGTTTGAAGGCTAATAACCAGAAAAAGTATAACTTTTTAATAACCAGAAAAGTATAACTTTTTACAAAGAGAAAGATGCAAAGTTATCACAATATCTTTGTTTGCGATCTCCGAGATGAGTGGACACAGTGACGTCATGAGGAGGGAAATCGTAGCTTCAGCTCTAAGAGCGGAGTGAACTAGCCCTTCTATTCTCTTTAGCCCTGCTCTTCATCAGCATATTAGAGCAAAAAAGTGGATTATTCTGAAGAACTTTTGATGTAATAATCGAATCTTCATGCTCATTAGAGCATGAGTTTGAGCCACTTAATGTCAATTTTATTACCTTATAACTCGGGAATTTTTCAAGCGAATAAAAAAAACTGCACACAATTATAAAGTTCGTTTACTCAGAGATAATTCGGGGTCTCCCTGCCCAAGCGGTATAGCCCGCCAGGCGCTGTGCGAAGCGTGGAAGTGGCGGGTACGAATCCCGCAGTATCCCTGGATGCATTTTTTGTTACGTCCTTCTCTAAATTGTTCTATCTTTCCTTCTACTGGTCAAAGATTTAAAACCTGAACTCAGCAAGCAAGCCTGCAAATGTATGTAATTTCAATGTAGCAGTTATAAACCAAAGGTAAATCTATGCAAATGTTTATAAATTTAGTATTTTTCATTGTTTTATTTAATTATAGTAAAAAAAATGTTCGAATTGTAAGGAATGTAACTTACGTCATTTTGAAGAATGTAATTTTGCATAATAGAATACAAAATTTGATCGAAATCGGACGAATAGTTCATGAGAAATTGAATTTTAAAATTCAATTAATTTTTAAGAAAAAAAATCGATTTTTCAGGTATTATTCGACCAATTTCGCCCAAATTTAGTATTTTGCTATTTAAAATTGCCTTTTTTTAAATGGTGTGAAAATGTTATACCTTACAACTCAAAATATTTTCGACTATTATTATTTGTGTCAGATTTCATAACTCAAAATATCCGCTACAATAATTAATTAGCATATTTGAAGTCACCCCCTCAAACCTTTAAGATTGAGTCCTAGAACGTGAAGATCCGATCATTAGATCAAAAGTTATTCACAGTGGACCGTTTTATATTTTGCACACTGCACGTTTCAAAAGTAACACGTAATAACTCTTGTAACTTATGAACTATTTGTTCTGTTGCGTAGTTCCATTTTTCTGCTGTACAGCTTCTTTTTTCAACTCTTTGTTTCTGTTGCATAGTTTTTGTTTCATAGTTCGATTCAACCTAAACCAATACATAGGAAACAATGCCTCACTTGTTTATGCTATCAGATGCGCAAATAAGTACAAGTTCAAAATTTGTGCATTACACCCTTTTATAACTTATAAACTATTAGTCAGGTTGTCTCGAGATTGGTGTCACTCGATTCCGCGGAGAAAAAAATATAACGGAAACAATACTCAACTTGCCTTTTTGCAAAGTTTCAATTCTTCTTCATCCCCATTTTACTAGAAAAAAAAAGCATAAGGGGGAGTAAAATATGCTTATCTGTGAAAATCTTGGATTTTAATTTTTCCTAAGTCTATTTTTAATGGACTATGAAGTATCCACGTTATCTTAGTATATTTTTATCTCTCAAGTAGAATAGTTTTCACATTTTTGTAAATTACATCCATGATGGTTATGTACATACTACTGTCCTAGTTTAGATCTCACCCATCTTGAAATTTTTGATGCGAAAACAATGGGGTTAGCAGACAAGAGCTGAGTATGAAGGTTGGGTTGTGTAACGTGTCCAGTTTAAATGGGGTTTTCTCTAATATACAAAGTGGTAGAAAAGTTTATGCTTTGTCAAGTGATTTTAAAATTGATTTACAATAATTTTTACTGACATGACTTGTAGATAAAATAAAGACAGTTTAAAAAATTTCCAAGCAGTTGTTGACATTAATATATCGGAATGGGCCCTATAAACGGGTGTGACGTATAGGTGTGGCAGGAAGTCGAATTCGTATTTACAGATGGTGCAACTGGAAAAAACAAGAACATCTCACCCCAACAACAATGAACTTAGAAATCGAAACATGTTTAAAACAATAATAATGCTTCGACCATGCGTTAAAAACTAGCTTTATTTTGCTCAAAATAAGGTTGTCTTAAAGTTTCAATGTTTCCAGAAGGTTTCGGATGTGATCAGGGACCGATCAAAACAAATTCAGGCCCTAGGCCCACCAAATTTTCCGGGCCCCTTACAAGACATTTTCTAAATAATTTAATTTGTCCTAAAAATAAAAAAGAATCTATTGAACTGCATGATTCAAGAGAAACATTCTAAGAAATTTTGAAAGCAGACAATTGAAGATTATTTTTCTAAGAAAAAGTTTATGTTGTATCTATAAATTAAAGCAAAATATAAAACAACACAACAATGATAGATCAAAATAAAAATAGTTAGGGGACCACAAACAACTGAAATCAGCGATTTCTGCTAAAAGTAACTGATTAACTGAATTACTTTTTATTGTAAGCTATCAGGGCTAAAAAAAAATCAGAAATTTTACCCGTCCCCGAGGACGGCCTGTCCAACAATGTACCCGTCCTCCTTTGAAACTAACCCGTAGCTTTTAAATAAATGAGAATATAATTTTCTCTTATTTATTACAAGCATTTATGTAAATTGCACAATGAATTAGTAGTTACTAAGATTACGTTATTCAGTAATAAAAGAATTAACGGGATTTTTAGATTAGAGGGTCATTTTAGAAGTGAGGCGCTATAAGACTCTTGTAAGATAACAAAAATTGAAAATGTATCACGAACATTAACGGGAAAATGGCCGTCCGCGCGGACGTCGGATTCGAGAAATTTGTTGCCCGAGAGAAATTTTTGACAGCCGAGGACGGGCGGACGGGTAGTTTTTCGAGCCCTGTAAGCTATAATTATTTTTTTTATTTAGTACTCAAACCAACACAAAGCTAGCCAACCTTTACCCTCAGGAATTGTGGGCCCATGCCTATTGGGCCTAGGCGATAATCAGGCCCTGGATGGGAAGAGTTGGGGTGAGTCAGCAGTTTTGGTTCTAAATAGAAGAAAAATGCAATCGCTTGGTATCAAATTTTTCCAATCGCCGTCTTTTCTTAAAGGCACGATAATGTAAGCACTATATGTAGTTCAATGTTATATGTATCCCCTGCGGATCTTTAAAAAAATGAAACTTATTAGCCAGCCTTTAACATTTGATCGCAAATGGCGAATAGAAATTCCGCTCCTTTCTACATTATGTTTGCTTCGGTCTCTCGATTGTTTTTCCATTTGTGGAACGGTTATGGTTAATAGGATTAGGGTGAATCCATATAAGTGACGCTGTGAATATTTCATAAAGATGTCACAACTCTCTACTACACCCGTAAAGTAAGTGTTTTTAATATTTCATTTCTATTATTTTTTACACCTTTTCTCATCTGCACTGAGCATTTTCACGCGACGCTTGAAACAAAATTTTCAAAAATAACACACATAAATTTTGAAAGTAAAACAACGTTTGCTGAATATAAAAGGAACCGATATTTTGCAGAATAAAATTTTTTAACAGATCACTGGTTTTTAATGGGTGGCTATGAAATGGTTAATGAACAGGTGGTCAAAAAGACAGCATGGGAAAGTTTACACTCCGATGTAGCTATCAACAGTCACCACTCTAAAATTAAAACTTTTTGTATCTTAATAATTAATAACCACATTATTTTAAGAAATTTATCTACAAATACTGTATTATGTATTTTAGATGATTTAGTGCTTCAATTAGTTCAAACAGAATTTTAAATTACTCGAAATGCAAAGGGTTAAATGGGAATAATGAAAAAAATTAAATATAGTAAATGATACAAAAAATTTACTTTTAAGTTCTATTCCAATTTGAACACTAGCTTAAGTTTGATCAATATAGTTTCCAATTTTTTTTCTTTTTTTTGCTATACATTGAAATTATTTTTCTTCTTTTTTTTTTCTTTCGTTCTTTTAAAAATATTCGGACAGATAAGTTGACATGATACAATTTTTTCTATGGCATTAGCCATAGTTTGAGTTTTAAATTTGCAATACGTTTAAGTTTTAGCTTTCATTTCATTTTTTAAAAAAATCCCCTTTTTTAGTTATAAAATTAGTACTATACTTATTAGCGCAACAATATGTCAAGGTTTCGCTCAAAAATAAATGCTATAATTTGTTTTATTTTTAGTAGAACGCTCTGGAGCCTGTGTGTACACTGCAATGGTGTATAGTTGCCACCGTTTTCGATGTTGAGATAAACTAAATACATTTCTTTTAATCACAGAACTGCAAAAAAATAAAATAATAATTGTGTAAAAGAATTAGTGCAATATAATACTGAAAATGTGCTTTTTTTAATGAAATTTTTTTGCATAAATTGATTCTAATAATGAACATGAAAATATGTGTTGTCAGTAAACAAACAAACAAAAAATTAATGAATAAAAAAATTATAATCGTTAAAAAGTGAATGAAAAATGTGACTACATGCAGTGCAAAAATTTTTAGTACACCTCAACACCAAAAAATGGTAGTAACTCTGGAACAATATTTTTCACAGTGTAGCGAATACTTAATGTGTTGACGCTACGCGGATTTATTTATTATTTTTTTTTGTTTCCAATTTTAAACTACTTCAATTTTGGGGTTACATTTTTAAGTAAGAATCGTTTGGGAGTTTAACAATTCCCATCCACATATCGATTTTTCTTCTTTTGTATTTTTTATTTTTTAAGCTTAAGTTATGTAAAATGGTTTCTAAGTTATTTTCTTAAATGTGCCAGTCCTGGTTAAAGAAGTGAACTAAAAGTCCCCTTTTTCTTGTCGGATTGACAGTGAGGATTTTTCGTGCTTTCTTTCCACGTGAGATTGTTTGACGTAAATTTTCAGCGAGGGCGAGTTTGTATAAACATTTGCTGGAAGAGTTCTAAAGTTTTTCCAGTCCTTTTAATGAATCGCTTTCATGTTATACGAATGTGTTATCTTGCAATGTAAATTTTATATTTTATTTTATAACCGTCGTTGAACAGCCGAACCAATTTTAGATTTACGACTATTAATGTTTAACTCCATAGCCTTGCAATTTTGAACCCAATCCAGAAGACAAGGGAACTCCTGGATCAAGTATTGGAATAAATTTGCTTTCATGGAGGAATTTTTGATGGAACTAACTCCCATTTGCGTTACATGGAGTGGAAAACCACGAAAACCTCCCACGGTTAGCCCGACGGCAAGAGCACTCTGATTCGTCTACCATTGAGGGTATTTTATGTCAGCATTGTGCTCAGTGCGAGCCAGGTGCAGAATTTGTATCGAGCAGTGCCATCACTGGGATTCAAACTCGGTTCACTTCATTGGAAGGCTATACACTGATCCATGGAAATTTTGACCACTTTTCGACTAGCTCGAGAACTCAGACATCCATGCCTGATGGCACTTCAGCAGAATTTATCCCCCTCCATTAAAATTCTGTCTACACTGGTTATCATAAATTAAGGAAAAATCACAAAAATAGCGATAACTCTTTCAAAAGTAAGCCAAACCGTGCAAAATTTGCATATGTTGTCCACTAAGAGTAGCTGAGTAAAATTGCAATATGCAAATTAGTGGCGCTGCACTCGGCTTACGTCATCTGCCTGGAGCATAAAAGTCCAAGTTTGAGAGAAAGCACACAAATTTTACTGTGATTGCGACATTGAAAATCTGAGATAGCCAATTCGTAATAATGACCTCTAGGCATCATTTGCCTGAAGAACTACGATGGAGAGCCATCGGGAGACTAGAGGCAGGGCAGAGTCAATCAGAAGTGGCCAGATGGCTAAATGTGAGTCCATCTGTGGTTCATAGACTTTGGAGGCAATTTCAAACCACAGATTCGGCATCTAGGAGGTTCAGTCAAGGACGGCCAACTGTTACGACCAGTGCCGATGACCGATATTTGACATTAAGTGCACGCAGGAATAGAACCGCTACTCCGACACATCTTAGATCCTCTCTTGCTGCAGCCACCGGAAGGTTGGTGTCAACGTCAACTGTGCGCAGAAGGCTCCACGAAGGTGGTCTGTATGCGAGACGACCAGCCATTTGCGTGCCGCTCACATCACGCCATAGGAGAGACCGTTTGCAGTGGGCCCGACAACATGTCCACTGGACGTCAGATCAATGGAGGCCTGTTCTCTTTACGGATGAGTCCAGGTTTAGTCTAGAAAGTGACAGTAGACGTTATTTGATATGGAGAGAACCTGGGACCCGTTATCATCCATCAAACATCCGTGAAAGAGATGCATACGGAAGAGGCAGTGTCTGTGTTTGGGGAGGCATATCCTTAGGAGGGCGCACATACCTCCATGTCTTTCCAAGGGGAACCGTGAATGCTCAGGTTTATCGAGACAACATCCTTGATGCTTATGTGCGCCCATATGCCGGGGCAATTGGTGATTGCTTCCTGTTACAGGACGATAATGCAAGACCACACAGAGCTCGCATTGTTGATGATTATCTTCAACAGGAAACAATTACTCGCATGGAGTGGCCAGCTCGATCCCCGGACTTGAATCCTATCGAGCACGTTTGGGATGCTCTAGGGAGGCGTGTATCTGCCATCAATCCGCCCCCTCAGACCCTTGCCACGCTTGCAACTGCTTTACAAGAGCAATGGCTCTCACTTCCTATTGAACTGATAGACCGCATAATTGAAAGCATCACACATCGCTGTTTGTGCTGTATTGCTTCTAGAGGCAATCATATTCCATATTAAAGGTACTTTTTCTATTGCAAACCGATACTTCCAATTTGTTTATTTTATACATGTGCTAATTTCTATACTACTATTAATGTCTGATAATTTCTTTTTATGTTGTTTAATACCTTACTATGTGTTGTATATTGTGGGTAAGTTTCATAAAATTCCATGTGTAATTTCTTGAGTTATCGCGATTTTTGTGAATTTTCCTTAATTTATGATAACCAGTGTATTTCCAAGTTTCTAAAGTTCATTATATCTCGACTGGAGCTAGTTGAATGGTCAACATTTATTGACTCTACAATCAGAATTTAACACCTTAATATTACTGCCACTCATTATGTCTCTAATGGAGTCGAATTCAAGCCCTTATTATAGCTAAGAAAATTAAATTTTGTTCACTTTCCGACTAAAATGCTCAAATTTTAACTTCGTTCAAGTTTTAATCCTTCTCCACTTAAGTGCAGAGTCTCACCATTAAATTACCAAAATGAATTTATCGTAAATCTAAATTTTGAGCATTTTCCAAAATCTTGTGCTCTAATTTCAATTAAAAGTTCACCGTCAAATAAGAGTTTACAAAATGGTGCAATAAGTATCTCCATTGAACTCTTTTCCAACAGAAACAGACAAAATAAAAAGAAGTTAACAATATAATAATAAAATTCAAATTATGAAAACTGCGATTTTTAAAAGATACCTTCAAACTATATTCGTACCCTTTTATGATTCATACTCTTAAGATTCCATTTAAAATGAATACCCAAGTGTTGAACTGTTCTTACGGATTATGGGTCACCATGCTGAACTAACCGTGGTTTTCTTCTCCACATAATGCAAATATATAGGTTAATTTTTGTTAAAAAGTCCTCTGCAAATACAGGCTATTTTCTGGATAGGGTTTAAATTACAAGGCATAAGGAGTGACCATATAGATAATTTACCATGTATGAGAAAACCTATAATGAGCTATATAAGAGCGCGAAACACACTAAAGATATTTTTTTTCAGTTTTGATAATCTTACCTTCTTATGAGGTGACCCTGGTTCGAATCTCAGCGTTGCCTGGTCGATACTAATTCTAATCCAGGATCACACTGACCACAGTGCTGACATAAAATATCCTAAGTGATAGACGGATTATGGGTTAGAATACCCTTGCTGTCAGGCTAACCATGGGGAGTTTACGTAGTTTTCCTCTACATGTAACCAAAAGTTCTTCAAAAAGGCTATTTTGTCACGATACTTGATCCGGGAGCTTTGTTATCTTCTGGATCCGGTTCAAAATTATAAGAATACAGGGTTGAACATGATAGTGCTAAAATCAGAATCGGGTCAGCTGTTTAACGCCAGTTACATAATAACATAAAAGCTTTGATACTAGAGCTGGATGACTTCTGAATTTGAATGCCACACTATATTGATATTTCGCGATATTTTTTTCCATTTAACATTGTTTTTCACTGGCCTCGATATGTTCTTAACTCAAACGAAATGTATCAATTATCACGATAATATCGTAATATCGTGACATAATATCCTATTCAGTATCTATCGTTGTAGTTAATAATAACGAAATTGTTGTCCTTTCTTATAATTTATAAGGTGCTAAAAACACAAGCTCCCTATCTCTCGTTAACTCCTAAATTTTTTTTCACAGTTCTTTTCGGATCGTTTTGCGACCCGTGCTTAATTCGCTCGCTTAGCAGTTATTAAAATATGATCGTCTACACTTTTTGCAAATAAAATAAGCGTCTTGGTTCTGAACTCTTTTAGGATTCATGCTTCAAATCTGAGGATTCCAGTTAAAATGGACACCATGAGTGATAGAAGCACAGAAGAGGTCATTACTTGTTATCTTGAGGATGATGATACATGGAGGAGACGATTCCCGAGAGCTGAGCTGTGCGTTGCTGGATCGGCTTTCGGCGGCTTCTTTATAATTTCTGGTATCATCATCATCACCCTTCATTACACCCTGGAATCCAGGGAAGGGTTCCACTCCTTACTGGAGCACATGAAGATCGCCTCTCATTTTCTAGGATTCTCATTCCTCATTGTGGCAGCTGTCCTCTTTCTGGGTGGACTCTTTGCCTATGCTGTTTGGAAGGTCAGATTTCAAATTTTTTTTTTTAAAAAACTTTATCACAGTGAAAAGGATCTTAAGGGTCTCATATAAAATGTAAAATGGGTTCCCACCTCCGGAAAAGCCACTCTATGAGCTGGAAAACACTTTTAAAATGCACGTGTTCAATTAAATTATCTTTCTTCAATATTCAATGATCAGCAAAGCGATCTATCAGATGCCGTTTGCAAGGTGTTGATGTCAAAGCGATGAAGCACAACAACGTTCCATTTGATGCTCAACTTTAATTCCATCGATGATCTATGGAAAGGATCACGAAATCAACAAGTCAGACCTAGAAACCCGCTGTTTTCCAACACTTGGATAGCTTACCACAAATAATGCAAACGTCCACTTTAAGGGGGATGCCCCTTTTAGGAGTGACGATTTTACGCTGTAGCTTACTGCTCCAATATCTTGTTTGCGCATGCTCGATATTTTTTCATCTTTCTGTGCCACTATGATTTATGACCCTTGTACATATCTTTTAAGTTTAAGTGATCTCAACAATAAAAACCGAACTTCACACTTAAAGTTGATGTGGCAATAGGTAATTTTTTTTAAGCGTGCAATTATGGTAACAATTATTAGTTTACTAAAAAAAATTCAAAAGATTGTGATGGAGAATGAATGGTTGACTCCAACTTGTTAGAAGTAATTTTAACTTTTCGCTTTTTCTGTCAAATTCCTTTTAATATGTTTATAAATTGTTTTTTTTTTTTATAAATGGTTAAACACTTTTTTAAAATATTCACCATTCATTACTTGAAGGAAACAAAATTACACATACTTAGCATAGAATTGTCTCAAATTGACTAGTAAGAACTAGAGACATTACAATGATTTTCGAATTGTTCGAGCGACTATTTTGGAGCAAAAAGATGCTTAAGTGTATATTGCTGTCATCTACTGGAAATTCAGAAAAGTTTTAAATACATATCCGGAAACTGTACCAAGACACAGTTTTATGCAAAAAACGTTTTGAAAAAGTGTGGGTAATTAGTATAGATCAGGGATGGGCAAACTACGGCCCGCGGGCCAACTGTGGCCCGCCTGAAGGTTTTTCCCGGTCCGCGGATAGAATTTTAACTTGCCGATCAGTGACGAATATAAACAATAAATATCCATTTTCTTGTCTACTTCGTATAAAGCTATTTTTGTTCTTACTTTTTTAACAAAGTATTGATGCATGATCTTTTTACTTTCTCTATTTTTGTTCTACAAAACAAAAATTGATGGAAATAGGCAGCTTCAATTTGTAAAATGTTGAAAGCAAACGTTCTTTATAGAATAGCCGTAGATTGGCGCCATCTGAAGCAGTTGTTTCTAAACATGCCAAAGTTAGAGTTTTACAAATCATTACTAGTTACAAATCATTACTAGATAAATCAGCTAGTTTCCCAAATTTAATATTTCATGCCCAGAAAATCATTGCTATGTTTACTTCATCTTATAAGTGTGAGCAAGTGTTTTCAACTATAAACTTTTGAAAAAATCATTTCAGAAGTAGGCTAACAGACAAACATTTAACCTTGAGCATTAAAATAAATACATCTCACTTGGAACCTCAATATAAAGAACTTTTAAAAGTGAAATCGCAATTTCATTCATCTCATTAAATATTTAAATTAAAACTTGCATATCGTTTTTCTACTTTAGAAGTTTTTACTTGGCCCACCAAACTTTTCCTCCTCGTTTTTTCGCCCTCGACCAAAAAAGTTTGCCCACCCCTGGTATAGATTGTCATAAGTAGATTACAAAATAGGGTTTAATTATTGATATGAGGTGTCATTTTGTTGTAGGTGATGGAAGTAGTAGAAATGGCTAACAGATACAGAGAGCACAGGGAACTGTGTGCGTATGAAGACCTGCGGCAAAGTTTCAGGTCGCAACAGAGTATGAGAATTGATAAGTGCCTAGTGGACATTGGTAAACAACTTCCCCAACAACAGAAATAAACTCTAATCCTAACCCCTGCGAGATGTAGATTTCTTTTTTATTAAAAGTTCCCTGTAGTTCGCTACTGGATTTATAGAGAACTTTTCTTAATGTTGCACACAATTAATCAACAACCTAAATAAGCTCACAACGCAATTTAAATGTGTCATTTATTAGTAAAGTAAGATGAATTATTAGGTTTTTATTGTTATTGTAATAAGTTAAACTAATCTGCCATATTAGATTAACTTATTTTAGAACACATTATCTTGAGCACATATGTCTAAATCTAAAATGTATTTAAAATATAATCCAATTTGCATACCTTAATCTAGTCTAAATAAGCTCAAATCTTAATTTGATTTTTTTTTAACTAAGTAGATCTTAATTCATAGTACACAGATATAATATCAATACCTAATTTAACTTACTTTATTGAACGCACCTTAAACTACAGCCTAAATGAACTTTAAACATATTTTGGCATAATCAAGAATTATTTAAAGCATTTTTTTAAATAATTTATTTTGGAAGATAATTTTCAACATACATAATTATTATTAATGAATACACTTTTAAAAAAAGATAATAATATGTTGTAGAATTTATTTATTTATTTGTAATGGATACAATTCGTCATATTGAAAATAAAATTAATTAAAGTGTTTACTTTTTTTTTTTTTGCTTTTTAAATCTACCATGTTAAAGTACAGTGTTTAAAAAAAAGTGTAAGCCCTAGATAACTTTTGATCCAATGATCAGTCTTTCTCGTTCCAAAGAATCTTAATAGTTTGAGGAGCAACTTTAAATATACTTACTATTTAAAGCAAGTGATATTTTAAGTTAAAAACTAGACAAAAAAAACTCTACTTTCTCTGAATGAGCACAATTTTAATTCGGCAAACTTGACATCAAAAAAATGGGGGGGGGGTTAGCTTTCAATCTGGAAAATAGGGTACTGACCTTCCAACAGTTTAGGTAAGAAAGCAGTCGAAAGGTGAATAAACCTTTAATGTTAATTTTATTCTTTGCGTACTTCGCTGTATCTGGAGAACTTTTTAAACGAATCGGAGAAAAAAATTTGCACAATACTAAAATTTGCTCATTCAAAGATAATTTTAGTATATAAATAATTTGTAATAATACTTTAATTAACTTATAGTCGAAAAATTTTTCGATCGTTAGGTATACAAATCTTTACATCATTCTGCAGGTTGAAAATTTTAAATGGAAAAATACGAAATTTGACGAAATCAGTGAAATTGTTTTCAAGTCATTCAATTTTATAAAGTCGTATTTTTATTTCTCTATAGTTCATTTAAATTTTGACCATATTTCCCTGACTGCGGATTCCCCCCGATATCTCGGGAGCCAGAAATCCGAATCCGTCGATCGAATGCGGTTTAAACCATTTTTTTTCCCGTAAAAAAAAACACCTGTTTCTTTTAAAATGAAATCTTTTTAAAAGTTAAGTTTTTTATTATTTATGCAAATAGTTTAATTTTAATAGAATCAAATGAAAGAATATTAAGTTTTTTTATAAAAATTTTCCACATTTAAATACAAATGGAAAACTGCATTTATTTAAATAAACATAAATATATAATTTTTAAGATATCATATTTTAGATATAAAAATAAATTGATGTGAATAAAATATTCTAAAAAATGCTTAATTTAAATTAAAGCATCACCAAGTCTATTTTCTAATTACTTTTAAAATTATTTAAGTAATGTAATTATATATACAAGTTAAAGTAAAAATTTAGAGAAACTATTTTTTTATTTTGTTAGACATATTATGCTTGTTAAAATCAAAAGCATAAATGGAAATGAAGTGCTTGTCCAAAGTTTTATACTTTTTTTTATTCGAATTATGGGTTCAAATTTTTTTTTCTATTGTCAGTATAAGCAAATTTGTATCGTATATATTATGATTTCATTCCTCTTTGTAATATTTCCAAAATGAGTTTTTTGCATTAAAATACAATTCTAACAAAAAGTATTTAGAATTCATTTACAATATTTTCATTGTATTTGATGCTGCATTATGTTCATAAGCTAATTGCAGAAATCGTAGTGTTGGACTGAAGAAAAAAAACCAGGTCATTTTTGTGGTACAACATAAAGGACCCAGACTACTTTTAAATAGGGCAAACAAAACAGCAAATTAAAAAAAAATATATAACGATTAAAAAATTGAGAATGGCATAAAAGACAAAAGAAATATATCTTATAGAAGAGAGAAAAAATATTTAAAGAAATAAATAATAATATTTTGTTTCATTTACCCAAAACAGAACCATAAATTTTTTTTCAATTCTGAAATTTGTGAGACAATAGCAGAAACTTCTAATCCTTGTTTAATTTTCACTGAGTAAATATCTGTCTTAGCATTTGTGGTTTAAAAGTAATTTTCTGCGTACACGATTAATTTATATAATATTGAAATTTCAGATGTTTCGTAAAGGACAAAATATTTAACAAGAAAATCAGAAATTTCATGAGAACTACAAACTCTGATATTATTAAACTTCAATCTCCATTATGTTAAAATATATTTGAAAAAGTAGTTTATATTCGATTTATTATTAAACCCTTAGAAGAAAAACTCACTTTTAGTATTTTATATGCAATTTATATAATTATTTTAGGGTATTTTTTTAAAAATTATTATTAATATAAACGACATATTGCCTTACTTGTATTGATAAAAGAATTTAACATATTTAGGAGATTAGAGGGGCAAAAAACTAGGATTCAATATTTTTTTTCTCCAATGTATATGTACGGTGTCAATGTATGGCAAATACCCAGAAAGATAAAAATGCCAACGAACGAAGAACAACAAACATAACAGAAGTGAATATGTCAAGAATTATAGGGTCCCGATGAACCGAAACTTCACCATAGAAGTATATATATTTTTTTATTATCAAAAAACGAAATGAATGGTAATCAAAATTTATGTTCAAGTGTTTCACAATAGAATCCAACAACGAACTAATAAGTGGGCGAAAGGGTTGATGTGAATATTGCCCAGCAACTGAAAAAACGTGCTTCACAACATTTCTCCTTCGATTGTAAAGTGACCACATTTTTATTGAGACAAAGCGGGACAAATGGGATGAAATGAGAATTACAATTTAGTCAAACTTTCAACGCGCACAATATATATATATATATATATATATATAAAAATACGAATAAATATTTGCAAAAATATTTTCAACATCAACTGGAAGTAAGTCAGAAGCTGTTTGAATAGTACCGCAAACCGGGGCGAGTCTACCCAGTTTTTCATTTTGTCAACTTTCAAGTGGTCAAACTTTTGTAAATACATATTAAAGAAAAAAGGCTTTTAATAGGTGTTTCGGAATAGCTATTTATCCCTCTTTAAAGCTGTGAAATCGATTTCAGAAAATATTAACAGTTACTGTATATTTTTATAGAACTGCTGACAAATCTCTCGTATGGGGCGAGTCTACCCATTCTACATATTAGCTTCTATATGATCAATGTAATCAAATTTTACTATTAAATTGTTATTTTAGTTACTATATAGGATATTTATGAAGTAAAATTCATAACTTTATTATATATTCCATTTTTTTATTCATAAAATAACACAAATTGAGTATTTGATCGATTATCACATTTTGATCACAGTTTTGTTTTTATAATCATTAACATTATAAAATAACATTTTTTTCTGATTATTGTTGATAAAAATAAATTAAAATTAATATAAATTTACAATTAAATAATTAATAAATAATAATAATTAAAGATTATTAACAAAATC